TTTTCTTGAAAGTGAAAGAAGGTGTGTTTTGCTACTTGTTCCCAGCCAAACTAGTTCCTTTCCAGAGCGGTATTGCTGGGAGAGATTGAATCTTCAACTTTTGACTAATAGTGCCGAATGCAGTTCAGTAGGAGAAAGTTACGCTCATTTCACTTTCAGACTGGAGTAATGGGGTCCTGTCCACAGGGTAAAACAAAACAGCTGTTGGGGGGAAAAGTGTCCTGATGATGGGATCCATTGCCAGGTTGGACAGGGCTTTGAGTAACCTGGTCTAGTGGAAGGTGTCCCTGCCCATGGCAGGGGGTTGGAATTAGATGATCTTCAAGGTCCCTTCCAACCCAAATCATTCTATCGTTCTGTGATTCTATCTACCTGAGCAAGAGGCACAGTGTGATAAAAGGAGATCTGTAGAGTGCTGAGGACCCAACTTTCGTGCTGTGTTTGTCTGCTTTGGGTTTTTACTTTACCGCAGCAGCTTGGTCCTTTGATCTGAAAGCCCTTTTTTATTAAAGTGCATCTTCTGCTTTAGTTGCATCTAAAAGGAGTCCAGTTTAGTGTATCCCAGTCACTTTTTGACAAGCTGACTCTGTGCTCTTAGTCTGTACTTTATGAAACACCTAGCTGGTTCCCAAACTAGCCAATTTTACCTTAGGGTATAAAATGCTCTGTAGTTAAACATTTAGCCTGTTAGGACATCCAGGTAAGAAATATGTATATATTTTATTGAGGAAACATAGAGATCAAAAAAAGAGAATAAATTAGCAAGTGGAGTTCTGGAGTCTTGATTTCTGCAGCTATTCTTTGGATCGGTAGATTACTGTCACCCTTCAAAATTTCTTGCAGTATCCTAATGAAACGGTTAGATAGCAAGTTCATGCACATTACAGCTTAACAATGTTCATGGACCCCAGGCTTGAGAGCGGCTCTGTAGAACTGCTGTTTATGTACGTGAAATAGTCACTTGTCTGCAAACATCTGCAAGTATTTAAATGAGAGCTGTATTGCAATTTGCATACTTACTAGACTTTTTTCATGAATATATGGAGTGTTGCAGGGTTGGAAGTGCTGCTATTACCATTTGTTGATCGTTCTACTTCAAGCTGTTCAGTGCGAGACTTCATGAAATTAAGATAATTTGTACTGCTGTTGCTGAACACAAGGATTACTAAGAATATTGATGACTGCATCATAAAAAGATTGAAAGATTAAGAAACAGTCACATCTAGAATCTCTTTATTTTCACCAACTATTTTGTGTGTTAAATACAAAATGTGTGTTAGGAAATTAAAAGCTTTAGGAGTTTTTTTTCATTTTGTAATTGTACAAATAGCAAATATGCATGCCTGTGTGAAATGAGTTCTTTATGGACTTGGGATTAGTATTAGCTAAAACTTATGTTTTGGTGTTTCTTTGCGTTAGATAACTGATGCTTGTAAAGCTTGGAAATGCTTGCCAAAAAACGCCAAGTTCTCATGGCATGTAGAAACCTTGATGCTCATTTGAAGTAATTTGTGTCTTGAGGCTGTAACCATAGTACTTGGATGATCTTCCACGAAGGATTTGTTTCCAATCCATGGACGACCAGTGTGTGAGGTTAAGTCGTACCTTGTTTAATTGACTGCACCACCTGATGTCGGTGTAGTAGTCGGTAAGATGTGTCTGACTGGTAGTTCACAGAAGTGGACAGAACGTCACTGTGGGTTGTCTCTTGCCAGCGCACTTCACCTTAATTTCAGAACATACACCCCGCTGTCTTTTCATCCTATTACGTAAATTCTTTGTCCTTACACTTGGCCTTTTGGAGAAGTGTGTGGCTACTGCACGTCTCCTGTGCTGACGTGATGCCATTGGGTAGACGTGCATTCACATGAAAAATGATCCCCTAAAGGTTAATTACAGAAAAAAGGAAGTAATGCATTTGGGATATAGCAGTATCCCAGACTTCATCCTTTTTCTAAAATAACCTGTGCCTTATTTATATAGTAGATTAATCACTGCTTCTTTGCCTTTGTGATAATGAAGGTAATCCTTTCTATCTGCTTTTCTGGGAGACTGTTCTACTTCTGTTCCAGGACTTGCGTGATTCAGAATCATCACTAATGTAACACTTTGGAAGTACAAGTGAGGGATATGGATGTATTTTGCTCTTGTAGAGCTGCCAGGAGCATGTCACATAGTGTTTGATGCCCGTCTTGAGTTGTACTGGTCTGGAGTCAAATCTTTCACGGGGAGTTCAGTTTCACAAAGCAGCATCTGCATTTATATGCACAACATGAATTCTTAGGAAAAAATTTCTAGGAAAGAACAAAGAGGTTTGGGGTTAAGGATTTTAGACTACAGAGATACTCTCTCTCAGCTGAGAATATCAAAAGGAGTTTGGTTGGTTTTTGGTTGTTTTTCTAAGCTCTTGGGGGCTTGGAGGGGGAATAGACCAGATAGTTCTCAGCCCTGTTATAGGGAAAGTACTGAGTGTAGTCTTGTTGAACTATTTTTTTTTTAATATAAAAGAAATGTTAGACAGCATATTGGATGATGTTCTAGCTGGTCTTAACAAAATGTTATCTATGCAGTAGATAAATTATGAAGTAAGCATAGGAAATGTTGATAGTGTATATATCAATGAAATATTTCAATCTTTAATTTAGATTTAAGATTTACACTTCAAGGAAAAATCAGGTTGTCTTTGTAATGTGCTTATGGCAGTGATACATCCAAGTGTTTTACAGGGTTGGGTTGCTGGGCTTGACTTAAGTAGCCTGGAAGTACAGTATTTTATCGTAACATTTTGTAGATAAATAGTTTTGTAGGAGAAATGAAAGTAATACATAGTTTTAAGGCATATACAACTGCGCACACACACACGTTGCACAGACTGCTCCATTAACTTAATTTAAAAAAAAATCACAAACAAACCTTGAATTTCCTCAGGCATTCCTCATTACTAGTGCTTTGTTTTTCTGTAGACATCTGCAGAGCAATTGAGTTGCTGGAAAAATTGCAGAGAAGTGGAGAAGTGCCACCACAAAAGCTACAGGCATTGCAAAGGGTCCTTCAAAGTGAATTCTGTAATGCTGTAAGGGAGGTAAGTCAACTTGACATAAGCAGTTCCCTTGAGTTAAAAAACAGTATGTTTTACTTTTCCTTTTTGTGCTCAGTACAATAATCTGATTTTATTTCTACAAGCTGAATTTTATTTACAGAGCTTAATAAAACAAGGCTTATTTTTAGAAGTTCAAAAGAAAATAATTTGGGATAGCATAGGTGTATTAAATAATGGCTCAGGAGCAAATAACTTTTTAGAGGTTATTTTGAGAGTCTGCCCTTACTGGCAGTTAGGAGGCTTGGAATGTAATAATGGACAAAGTACCAATTGCCTCTGTTTCTTGTAAGCCAAATCCACATCGCCTTGCACACCACCTTGAGGTGGAGCCTTGCACCACCTAATTTTCATTCCAGATACTCTTTCAGAGATTGTTCGGTGATTGAATATGCCTTGCCATTGCTGTTGGTGCTACCACTGATGGTAACACCTGGCATGAGTTAAAAGATTTGTTTGTAGACACAGGGGTCATCTTAATGTTTTCATCCTATGGAGGACAGGGTGTTCATTGCTTAGCGAGTCCAAATGACGGGCAGGTAGATGTGAGAATGTTAGTTAGGCCTCAGCGTAGGCACCTCCTCAGCATTAGTATTCATATTGCCTCTGTCTTTCCAATACCCTTTTTTTCTGAAGATATCCAATTAGTTCCATCGCTTGAAGAAAATTTAGGGTTTTGCAGGGAGGGATGGGTTGTCAGAAGAGATTTAAAGAGCTTTCCTTGAGTGATTTTGCATGCATGCTTATTAAAAGAGTTCCAGCTTGAATCAAATGAGAAGATAGTCATGCATGTCTCCTGTCAGGTGTGTTAGACTAGCTGTAAGCATTTCTGAATTCATGGGGAGGTCTGAATGCTGTGGAATGAGGGAAGATTTAGATTGAGACCTAGCTATGCATGGATTAACTGAGCAATAAAGATGCTGAGAGAGTTGTTTGTTCATAGTACGGTAGATTGGCACTCGACACCTTGCAGTGCATCTGGGAGTAACTTCTTATTAGAGGTGTGTACTTTTTAATTTACACATTTTTGAGTTGTACCTGATATTTTGTTATATTATCTAAGCAGAAAATTATCTGTTTTCCCCATACTTAAACTGTTTTGTTTCTAAAGGTGTATGAACACGTATATGAAACTGTGGATATCAGCAGTAGCCCAGAAGTTAGAGCTAATGCAACAGCAAAGGTAAAAGCCAAACTGTAACTTGTGTAAAATACAGCAGCTTGTTACTTTACAAGCAGAAGATTATTTAAAGTTCGGAAGGATATTATCTAGATGTCTGATAAAATGGATAAGCTTAATGGGTTATTAAAGGTATAACAAAAGACTTGTTATTTTTAAGTTTCTTCTGTTTTAATTTTATTCTTGGAGTTCTAAATTTTTCATGCTAGTGTTGGTATCTAGGGAATTAATCTAACTTGTCTTAATATTTAAGGACTTCAAGATAAAAATACTTTTTCAGCCTGCTCACTGTGTCTAGCTAAGGGGTCTATATTTAATTTCTTATAAATAGGAAAATCTTGTTTCTTACAGGCCACTGTAGCTGCATTTGCTGCTAGTGAAGGTCATTCCCATCCCAGAGTGGTCGAACTACCCAAAACCGAAGAAGGTCTTGGTTTCAACATTATGGGAGGCAAAGAACAAAATTCTCCAATCTATATCTCTCGAATTATCCCCGGCGGCATAGCTGATAGACATGGAGGCCTGAAACGTGGAGACCAGCTGCTTTCTGTAAACGGAGTGGTAGGAACTGGTTTTCACTTTATGTAGCAGTAACTACTTGTTTCCACTTGGGGGCATACAGAGAATATACATCTTTTAACCTTGGCAAAATAGTTTCTTTTTGTCCTTGCAAGAACAACTTGCTTGTGTATCTATAGCGTTGTGTCCATTGAGAGTTATGGGATTATGCTTCGGTTATCAATCACAACTGGGAACTGTACTATTTATGTCAGTATTTCAGATTCTAAGGGGTTGTATAAATTTAGTCAAAGTATTGTTTTGCGACAGTAACTGCCACTATGGCTTCCTCTTTCATCCAAGTTTCACGATGCAGATTTTAATTAATACAGTTTTCTGCACCTTCTAAGGTAAGTAGAAAATTATGCTATATTGCGTTAGACTGACCAGATTCTTATTATCCCAATAAAAATACTACTGCATAATGAAAGCGGTAATAAGACAGAACTACAAACTGGTGTTATCTTCAGTTGTGTGGTATTTTTTTACTTCCACTTAAGTGTACTGAGCTTCAAAAAGAGCGGCTTTCTAGCATATTTTAAGGAATATATGTCTAAAGTGCTGTTGTGGATAATTATTTTTAATAAGTGTCCTCTTCAGAAGAGTTAGAATGCAAAAAGCAAAACACGGGGTGACTGGAAAGAGGAGGCCATGGACAGGCTTTGACTTACAGCAGCTGCTAGTCAAACGCATGTAAATGTCTCTCAAACCATTGCTTTTATTTACAGAGAAGCTGTATGCTAGCTTAAAATTAATGTTTTGATCATTATATCTGCCAAGCCAATTTTAGTTTAAGACTGAGGGTCAAACTAGATCCTGTGCTCTTTAGCCCGAGTGGTTTTTTTGACGCATGAAAGGAGTGCTGGGTGTCTGTACTCTGGGAAGTCCCTGCTAGCACAGATCTCTGACATACTTAGCTCTTGACTATTACCTGGGAGTCCAGCTGCCTTTTTCAGGAGATGTAAGAGAAATGGCCATAGTGACACAACTGTCCTTGGCGTAGAATTCCTGTTATTTTGAAGCGTTGTGGGACAGGTGTAGAACTGTTGTCAGATGAGGCCTTCCTCACCCACCGACCCTCTTAAAGAAAACAAAACCACACCACCACCCAAACCTGAACCTGGTCATCAGATAGTTGGTATAGCTAACAATGACTGCGTGTGTGTGCATGCACGTGTATAAATATACATAGCCATTGTAAGAATACGGTGCGTCAGTGCATAAAATACTGTTGAGAGTGCTAACGTGATCTCGGAAGAATCATCTTCTTCTGTTGCTTACAGATGGAATTGTGTCATCTTAATATATATGACAGGCATTTTCTTGTAATATCTAATTTAATAACTAAAAAAAAAAAAGCCATTGCCAAGACTGCAGTGAATGAGCCTTAAAATAAGGTGGGTTTTTTTTTCAGCTGGAAGATTTTGAGTGTACTCCAGGATTTTAGGTGTTTTGATGTAATTAAACAGAGAACTTTATAAAGCTTTTATTACCAATTTTAAACGGAACAGTCTACACATCCACTTGAATAACAAAAATGAAAATATTCAAATGTATGTGTTGTCTCAGTCTGATAGAAGAGAAATAACTTGGGTTTTTTTAACTGTTGTCTTTCTTTCTGTAAGTAACTTTATAGTAACGGGGAAACCCTCCAATCAACAGGTACATCACCTGCCTTCTAGCTTCTAATAGCTCCAGTGGGAGGTAGGCTTGGGGTAGTCCCATCATTGTGTTTAATAAGTTTGGGAGAAATAACTTTTGCTGATGAAATGTATGCTGTCCAGGAATGTATATTTGGACATATTTGTATAGTTGAGAACTGTTGTTTACAATTTGTAATTAGATGAGTCTAATATAACCCTAATAAATTCTGAGTGTTGTTTTAGGAAAGTCCTTTTGTTCTGTTCTTATTGAGTTGGGTTAGGCTATTCTTAATCAGTGTAGAGGAAATTAACTTGAATACCTTGCGTTTGCTGAGACATGTGGGGCACTATGATAAGCAGCACACTGCACGTTAGCTGCTCTGTTGCAGGTGCCCAGTATGGTCTCTATTGCCTTGTCGTAACGCAGGATAACATCAAGAAGGCAGCTACCTTGCAGTTGTCTGTGGCAACTTATTAGGAAAATTGAGGGTGACTACTGAATTTAAAATGCATGCCGAAAGAAGGGAAAAAATCTTGAATTTTAAATAAGCATACTTCTGAAGTTGTTGATTTTTAAGTGTAATTTCATAGTTGTCTAATGTTATCCTTATTTCACTTACTGTATGGGAATACAGAATTTAATTGTTCGGGATAAACCTAACCAAAAGTTTTACACTGCTGTTAATGCTAATTAGTATATTTGTCATCACCTCTTAAGGATTTGCTGAAGAATAAATCCTGAACTTGGGAGGCATTGTCCTTGGGCAGTCTTCAAACTAGAATACTCTAGTATTTCATTATATAGAAGTTGTACAAAAATGAAAAAAAAAAACCTGTTTTCAGTGTGTGTCTTTACTAATACCGTACTTAATGGTTTATGCTTTGCAGAGTGTCGAAGGTGAACACCATGAAAAAGCAGTAGAACTGCTGAAGGCAGCTCAAGGAAAAGTTAAATTGGTTGTCCGATACACGCCAAAGGTCCTGGAAGAAATGGAGTCGAGATTTGAAAAAATGAGATCAGCGAAACGCAGGCAGCAAAATTAACATTGTATGCAATAAGTTAAAGAGAAATATATTCCATTTACATTTTATAGTTTGCTTTGTGACTCAGTTGATCCAGTGCCTGGGCTACAAAAGACCCTGTCCTTTTCGTAGAATCACGGAATGATTGAGGTTGGAGGGACTCCTGGAGATCATCTAGTCTGGCCCCCCTGCTCAGAGGAGGCTTAGCTAGAGCAGGTTGCTCAGGGCTGTGACAAGCTGGGTTTTTAAGCGTCTCCAAAGGTGGAGACTCCAGAAGACCTCTGGGCAACCTGTTCTAGTGTTCTGATCTCCCTCACACTACCAAGGTCCGTTCTTAGGTTTAAATGGAGGTTCCTGTATTTCCATTTGTGCCCATTGCCTCTTGTCCAGTCACTGAATGCTACTGAGAAGAGTCTGGCTCTTTTTTTTACTTCTCCCTCTCAGGCATTTACGCACGTTGATAAGATCACCCCTGAGCCTTCTCTTCTCCAGGCTAGACAATCCCCATTCTGTCAGCTTCTCCTTGCCTGTCAGATGCTCCAGTCACCTTTGTTGGCCTTTTACTGGACTCGCTCTTCTATGTCCATGTCTGTATTGAACCGGGGAGCCCAAAACGGGACCCAGCGCTTGAGTTGCATCTCACCAGGGCTGAGCAGAGGGGAAGAGTCGCCTCTCTCAACTTACTGGCAATGCTCTTCCTCATGCGAACAAGGAGACTGCTGAGCTGCTTTGCCGCCAGGGCGCACGGTGGCTCACGGTCAGCGTGGTATCGTTCTCGGCAAAGCTGCTTTGCAGCTGGTCAGCCCCTCTGCCTGTGCTGGTGCGTGGGGTTGTTCCTCCCCAGGTGTAGGACTTTGCACTTTCCTTCGCTGAACTTCCTGAGATTCTTCTTTGCCCATTTCTCCAGCCTGCTGAGGTCCCTTTGGATGGCTCGCTGAGCTCTGTCCCATCACCCCTGTTATCGATGAAAATGTTAGACAGTATGGACCCCAGTACAGACCGCTGGGGTGCATCGGTACTGACTGGCATCCAGCCGGACTTTGTGCCACTGATCACAACAACCCTCAGCAGTTCAGCCATTTTTAGAATGTTTTCAGTCCCCGTGTGTTTCACAGTTTAAGAGGAATGTGTACTTTTAAAATGGCCTAAGATACCCTGAAGAAGCATATATGTTGATATTTCTATTGTGTTTTTTTTAATAAGTCTCTTTCATGTCAGACCGTTAAGCATGAAAGTGATTTTACAGATTTTGCAAAGGCATTTGATAAGACAAACTTGTACAATTGGTATCCCTTTTTTCCTGTTTTCTTTCGGCATTACTTAACATAGGATCTGCAGGTTTTCTTGCTGAATGATTTTGGTAAAAAAGATTCTTATGTAGCAGTATTTTGGCACTTTTCTTAAGAATATGTTGTATATCAACTACAAAACCTAATCATGATCTACTGTGTAGCTGATAATGATACCAGATTTTGTAATGTTTTGGTGAGTACATTATTTTTACACTTCTACTAAATTGTAATTCGTTACTCTGGAAATTGTATTACCTCACCTGTAAATAATTTACAGTTGGTGTTCTCATACAATGATTTTGTAATAGCTGACATTTACAAATTTGAAACAATCATTCCTGTAATGTATATTATTTTGTACTAATTTTGATGCAGTTAAGGGGAAAAATGTAATCGTGTATGCAGTTCTGGATTGACTCTCTAGATGTATTTTTATATTCAAAACCAGAAGATATATTAACGCAGTGCAAAAGAATTCCAGATGTTTCCCTGACTTTCTGCTGTTTAAAAGAAATATTCATCTTAATTGTCATACCTCTCTTGTGTTTGTAGTATATTCTGTTGGAGTCTTATCTACAGACTGACGGTCTTGGAATAGTTAGTACCTAAATTATTGATTATTACATTTATAAGAGTAAAATGTTCTGAGGCTTATATGCCAGGTTACCCTGACATGTGAACTCGTCTGGGGTTTTATTACTGACTGCTTCTGACTTGGAGGATTCTTGTTTGTACTAAGGAAGTACTACAGCACCATTGCTGTAAAACTTTATGGGGAATGGTGCTGTGGTGGTAATAAGGAAAACTCCTTATTAATGCCTAAATAAGGCATAAGAGATTAATGTCTTATCTCAAGTGTAGTTGATGGTGACACGGTTTTTGTGTGCCATTTTGAAGAAACTTCTGGACAGGGGTCCACTTGGAATCTACCGGGTTTGAGGCTGTACTTGTGTAGTTTAGTTTTTGGGTCCTTTTTATTTTTTTTAAAGCTTCACCTTTTGTTTTATATCTAGAATTAACTTGATCGTCTACTGGGTGTCTGTTGACTTGTATGGCAGCTATGAGTGCATCCTAATTGACTGTTAGTAATTTGATTCTTAGAGGCTTAAACTGAAAAGTGCAGTTCTTAACGATGTGGCTAATCCCTGGTCTTTTCACGTGGAGCAGTATGAGCCGTTGTGAAATAATTCAGTATGTGAAAGAAAGGAAAAGGTTAGGGATCTAAAAATGACAGCATGAAGTTTGTGCTTTGTCAGTTGATCTGTTGGAAAAGAAAAAAATGTGATTGCTACAGGCAAGTAAGAAATGTGATTGCTTTCTGCATGTTTGTAAGCATGGTAAGCCTGCACAGAGAAATTTGGGTTTTAGAAATACTGGTAGTTGGAAAATGCAGTATAAATATTTATCAGTTAGATGACATTGAGCACTGAATTGCATGGTTGATTGTGTCATAGGCCTCTTCCAAAAGGCCTCATGTTACTGATGCAACCATGTTATTGAATTGTATATTTTTATGGAACAACTAATGTTTAAAGTATTGAGACCAAAATTACTAGTTGGACCAATTGTGGATGTGTTTTAATTTAATTGTAAAATAGTGGAGATTTGTTTTAGAGCTATATATAAATATATATATTGAAGAAAGGTATGGATATGAGACAGAAATGTGCATTTTAAAACCTGTATCCCTTGTGTTACTGAACAGAGGTGTGTTTTGTTACTCTACGGAAATATTTACTGTAGTGCAGCTAGAGCTGCTGAACGCAGTAGCATTTTCATTCTGAATTGTAGCATTTGGATACAGTTTGTCAACGACTACAAAATGTGGGGAGGTATATCTGGACATATAAGTTCTACGTGTAGGATTTAATAAAAAGTTTTTCAAATTCTACAAAAAAAAATAATCCAGTGAACAGGCAACTCTAACTTCTTTAATACTATGAAACCCCTATAACATTAAGGAAGGGGCAGATGAAAATATGCTAAGAAACTTGATCTCTGTTACTACTGAGCAGTGCCTGTGCTGTGTTAATATGCAGTCCCTTCACG